TGAGCATATAAGGAGTATAGGTGTAGCGTCAATCGTGGATAAGATGAGAGAAAATAGACTTAGATGATTTGGTCATGTTATGAGAAGAGAAGAATCGGAAGCCGTAAGAACAGTTGTAGAAATGAATGTTGAAGGAAGAAGAGGCAGAGGAAGACCAAAATAGTGATGGAGAGATGTTACTGAATGCGATATGTGGACATCTAATGTGAGCGTAGAGGATGTGGGAGATCGCGTCAAGTGGAAGTTTAGGATAAGGGTGACCGACCCCAAGTAGTTGGGATTAAGGCGAGGAAGAAGAAGAAGATATTAAAACTATTTGGTGATAAATATTAAACTAAAACATCTTTAAAAATTAAAAAACAAAAAAAATCTTTAATGTATAAATAAAAGTGAAAATGTATCTTATTTACTTATTGTCTTTTGTCAATCGATATTTTCTGTGAATTGTGTTGCCTATTTTATAACAAAATAGGATTTTAATTGAATCACTCAGTATTTATGAAGTTATACAAATATTTCTAGTTCTACTTATTTATCTAAGTTTTATTCTATAATAATTTTTATCATAGAAAATAAGTGTATAATATAAAATTTACTTTTAAATTTAAGTTTTTCAACAAGAAAGATCTTCAAAAGACATACATTTTTAACAATGTGTAGCTAACTAAATGTTCATATATTTTAACTAAAATATAAACCTTAAAAATAAAAAATATATATTAAGGAAACTATTTAACATAATAAATAACTAACTCAATTTAATATATTGTATAAGTTATAATTTTTTTATGTGTAAAAAATTCAAAATAGAAATGTCGGCCTGACCTAGTGGGAAAAAATGTATGTTTCAGTCCAAGTGTTCGATCCCCAGAGTGCCAATATTATTTTCGTGATTTTCTCATTAGTTTTATCTGGTCTCTGGTGCAAGCAGGCTAGAATATCCGTCCCATCCTACATTGATTTAGCCAACAACCATCTATCCTTGACTCCTTAATATGTAAAAGAGGCAGGCCCGTATCCAGAAATTGGTTTCGGGGGGGGGGGGCTCAATAATAATTAATATAGTTTTAATTTTACTTAATTAATTAGCCACAAGTGATCAATTTTTATTATATAAAATTTCATATTTTGATTTTTAAAAAACAATAACAGTTCTAAATTAGCCGATGTTTCCTTATTTTACATCATTTTATATAAGGTGTTCAAAAAGTAAACAAAAAAAATTTCATTATATTAAAGATTAATTCAAACGTTCATTAGACCATATAAAAAAAAATTAGGAATCTACGATTCGATGTTTGATTTACAATTAACTTACAACAAAAAAATTTACTTCCACTCGATGACAATGTAGATCTTGTTTTCTTCAATATCAACCAGTTATTATTAAAATTTCAGTTTTATAAATCCATAATAATATACATAATGAGTGCCCAAGAAAAATATTTCAAATTTTTTTGTTGAAATATCGAAGAAAAAATAAACTAAAAAAACCATCCTTAAATTAAAAATAGATAGACGAGTGAAAATTGTAATCCAATTATAAGTCTAAGAAAATTTAAAGTTAGAAAATGACATGCATTAACTTAAGTTAGTCAATTTAGACAAACTCTTATTTGTAAAAGTATACAAATTTTTATTAGCATATTTATTCGTATCATTCGAAATGCATGAAGAAAATTCTCTAGTTATGTTCTGGTCATTTTTACATAGATTTTTTTTTTAAACATCTCGATAAAAGAAAATTTTGAGGATAGTGATAAATTCAAGGAAGTAAGCCAATTTTACATTTACGTGAGATGTTATGATAGAATAATTTTTTCTTTGAAATATAACCGTAAATAATAAAGCGATTTCAATAATGAATTATACAAGACCTACAGAAAAAACAAGCTGCGATGAACTTTGTCTTATGTTGAAATTTGATGATATAAATTGTCGGAAAAGTTGCTAATTTTAAGGGGTAAGAATAAACTTTTTCTATTCACTCCTAGACTTGTTTTAGGGAAAAGTTTAATGTGAAAGGTTTTACATAGACATTATATCATCACTTGATTTATTTATCTATTAATGTTTTATGTAGTTTCTTAGAATAAAATTTTAATTTAATTTAAAATACCAAAGTTTTCCAAAAACTGGTTACAAAATTACATGTGTTCTCAAAAAAAAAATAGAAATTCGCAATCGAAGTTTTTTATTTTATCAAAATTGAGGAAATTCATCACATTTACATTGAAAGATAATCTAGACTTTTAGCAAAAAGTATACAAATATTTTTTGTTAATTGTTGGAAAAACAATAAAATATTTGAAAATAGCAAAATTTCATATTTTACGTTCTAAATATAATAAATTAAAAATTTGTATTACTAAGTAAATTACAAAGTACTATTGATGCTAGAAGTATAATCAAATTTTATCATTAATAAAAAAAAAACCCAGCACAGGGGGGTCGCGGCACAGTGGTGACGTGGTATAGATGGATCAAGTATAATGATATCTGACAGTGATTAAAATCACTATCAAAAAAAAACGCTTCGATGCAAATCTTTAGATACTGTTTAATTTTAAAAAATTGGTGGACTATTCCAAAAGCTACATTATCTGCTAGTTCATTATTAATATCCTAATTAAGATAAAGTATGTAGAATGAAAAAGGGATTATTAAAAAATATTATTTCTCATAAAAAAATAATGTTGATCCATACACTTTTCAATATGTCATAGCATTATAAAGTTAAAAATGTAAAAAATAAAATCGAGAATTTTCACACAATAATAGCATTCGGTAGCCATTTTCACCGTGAAGATAAAATAAAGTCC